TCTCCACTCCACATGCACCACCTCAACGCGTGTAGCTGAGCTCAGCTTGTTCTACACACTTTGGTGGGGTTCTCCCTGCAGGAAGAGGCTTCACTCAAACACTGCCCAAGGTTTTTGGTTGCTCTGTATCAATTAATTTTTAATAAACTTGCTGTAAAATGTGTTTTTTCACAGTGAGACCTTACTACAAAATAGTCTCTATGTACAAAGGCCTGTCACAAAGTCTCAGCCAGCAAGCCGGGGATGCCCATGTGACGGCTGCTCGAACACTGAATTCTGAAGCAGTCTCTGCTTGTCCACCCGTACCTTGAAAACGTGATAAACTCGCAACAGCTTTCAATCAACCTACCTGCACGGATGGCCAAACAGCAATCTTTCAAAACCTAAACTGTTTCTAACAAAAGCTTACAAGCAGACAAGCAAGAAGGTTTTTTAAGAGCATTTCGGAGGTGAAGTTACGCATTCAGGGTAAGATAGCACACGTGACAGTGGGACTGTTACTTGTGTTCTCATCACTTCAGTTCCCTTCCCAGCCTTATCATTTCTAACAGGTCTCTCCCTGTGTAGTCCTGAGTACACTTGTATTGGTTTTGGGAGCTGAAAATTCATGATAATATAAGGAAAGATCATGCAAATTGTGGCAAAACTTGGAAGTTCATGACAAGATTTTCAAAAGCCCTCTGGGATGTCCTACCTCTGTTTCCATCAAATTACGAGTACAAAATTGTGAGTAAAAATTATTTCAGCATCCATGCAAGCAGAGTGAAGTGAATTCTGAACACTTCTGGAAAATTTCCTTTGGTCCTTTTCTAAAAGTTTTGAAATCTTAATGCTAGACAAGAAGTTATGGGGTCATTACACTCTCTTGCTATTGCATTGCTATTAGTGAATTCCACATATTATATCTGTCCTGAAAGCAATAACTCTTCCTTATAGAAAATAAAAAATAAATAATACCACATTTTTCATGTTGTAGGGTTGATGCAAGTGTGTCCATCTGCCTCCCCTAGACAGACTGCCCGCCACTGGACAGAAGAGCCAGAGCTACAAGCCCTGATGGCAGAAGAGGTATGTGGTTTCTTGGATAGGCTGCTGATGACATAACCCCTGAGCACCTTTAATTTACTGGTTTGTATGTGTTAGCACACCCAAGCCACAGAGGTCACTAGCTCAATCGTTTCAGAGTTTGTGAAGCTGTCTCCTGGTTAAATTGTGACGCTTCATCAGATTTGCTCTGGAATCCTTCGTTCAGTCCCAATACTATCCAATCTCCAGATATACTTTTTTCTGAAGCACTAACTTGCTTGAATTCCCCATAGAATGAAAGGTAGAACTGTATTCAAGGACATACCAAAGTGCTGTGGTATTAGATTTAGCTGACACTGAGATGCTCCCGACCTATTTCCAGACTCAGACTTCCATAATCTCATTTAATTTCCAGTCATTTAAGAGGGATCACACTCTGGAGTGGAGTGCTCAACAGGGCAAACCAAAGGTAATAAAGAAAAATGCTGCTCAGCTGCTAAAATTACCTCTCTCAAAGCCAGGCCAGTTTTTGTTCATCTGATTCTTTCTGTGCTCCATGGGAGCAGCAGGGCATCCCGCATCCCGTTAAAAGTTTTACTGCAGCTTGCCAAAAATGTGCTCTTTCAAACAGCCACATTCTCCAAATTCTGGGCAGCAGAAAAACACCACCTCATCTGCAGCCTTATCTTGAGCTGAGCCAAAGCACGTGTCTGACTCTGCCATCTCCAGGCAGGCTTCACAGCAAGTGCACATAATACACTGCGATGAAAAATGCCCACTCTCCTCCATGATAACAAGACTGACAGATGAGATTAGGCTTAGTACAAAGAGATTATTAAACGGCTTTTTGACATAGAAGTGGGTCATGTATGGCTTCTCCTTTTAATGGGAAAGAAATAATGGGTTTTACAGTGAATGAGGCAACTTCAATAAATAAATATTTTAATAAATCCTAGTCTGCAGAGTCAGTCTCTGCACAATGCCACAATACACCCATTTATTCACTTGGATTAAAGTATTACACTTTACGGTATTGATAAAGTATTCAAGGAACAATATGTGCTTGTGCAGGTAATAAGCATCACCTGCAAAAGCCATAAATAACATTTAAAATTACCTTGACTACTCAACTAACCAGAAACTCTGTGCAACGTTAGCGTACTGGATGAAATTCTGGGTTCACTGAAGTCAACAGTACATGACCAGGATTTCACATATTGTTCTTATTTAAGTACAGTTGTTTTGCAATGCTTATTCCAAGTAAACTTGGATTGTAAATACACTGCAGTGCCAAAAAGAGTTGAGCTGCATTGCTATCCAGATACTTATGGATATGTCATACTGGGTGCAATTTGGTATGTTCTACAACCTATTAATTAGTTCCACGACATCTTTCATACATTATTGAGTCTGGCTCTCTTTTCCAAATTCCTGGTTTTCTAGTTTCTAGTTTTTAATTGCCACATCAGGAAATACTATACACGGGTCAAGAACAGTGAGCAGGATTCCTGGTGCTTGGCAGTGCCTTGAATCCTGGAACACTGTTAAGTGTGTCTCTACTGAAACCTCTGAAAGCAGAGAAAATCAGCGCTAATAGCAGCCCTGAAACTTTACTGCTTCCCACTGGGGCTGGCATGACTCTTCAGAAACTGTGATGGTTATCATGGATGGAGCCAACACTGTCTCATAAAGAGGAATAACCAGCTGTGTCACTCGATGCAGTGTTGCTGTGCCCCACCAACCGCTATTCTTTCACCCACTTGCAGGTCCTCCAGCTGCCCTGCACCACGTTACCGACAGCTGCATGGACTGGTGCAAGCATGGTTTGCACCAAGCTGCCATGCTGCCTATGTTACCGATGGGGAGAGGTGTGTCTACAACTAGGGGGACCATGGTCCACAGTGAGCTTTGGGGGGAATGTATAGATAGACAAGGACAACGGTCTCTTGGGAATCTGCAGCAGCAGCAGCATAACAATATGGGAGAGAAGCAGTGTGACAGGAGGTGGTATCATAGGGACATCATGGGACTTGGGGCTGCTGTGGTTACATCTGGCAGCTCTGGAATGAGCTGTGTGACACAAGTATGTATGTGGCTGTGTACAGTATGGACCTGCCTCCAGAGCATAACTCAAACTTGTCCTAAAAGCAGCTTTTGCCTTGCAGCATCTCCAGGGCTCCATAGCATCCAGAAGAAACTGCTAAATTATATTAGAACAACTGGCTGTCGTATGTCTAGGGGCATCAAGGAGCTATGGTTCTTGTACAGAGATGTCCTTCCAAAACGTCTTCCTGCCTGTTTCTCGCTGGTTGCATGCATGGATTTATACACACACACACACATACACACTCAATAATAATGAGGTTTTGACCTTCAAAGAACAAACGTCTGAAATAAAACCATTAATGTGTAACAATAGATGCTTACCTACATCCCTGTCCCTGATACAGTAGTCTGGAGAACTTTCAAAGTATACCAGGTCATTCTTAGTTGGCTTCTTAAATCTCTTATTAGCCACGGTGAAACCTGTGCCATCTTGATTCATCACCACCTGAATCGCTCCATTGTACTTCTTCCACAGATAATCTCCCGTTTTCCTAAAGTCTGCCATGGCCAGCCAACAGGTCCTTAGAGTGCATGATCCACTCACACCGTGACATTTGCACTCCTGTTTCAAAAACCGCTTCACGGCCTGTTTAGAAATGCAGCAGAACATACACAGGTAAAACAAACTGCAAGTTACGCTTCTCGTCCCTTTTCCATCCACCCTGCAGTGCCAGGCTTGCGGTGGGTCTCCAAATCACGGTCTGTAGTGACACCCACTGGTAGCATCAAGTCATCCCCACATGGCTGGTCTGCTCTGGGGGCTTGACAACCGTACACACAATCCTCCGGCTGGTGGGCTTACCTTCCCCGCTCCTGCCAGCCATCCCGAGGATGGAGATGGGCCATGACTCCCGGAGGCACACTGGACGGGAGGTAACGATCTGGGAAATGGACAGGATCACCCAGCCCCTTGGTAGGCAAAGGTACCCCCTTTCCCCATCATTCCAGCTGAACCATCGTCATGCTGACCCTCTCTAGCTCGCCTTCGTGAAGTCTCCCTTTGCCCTGAATAGTGTTTCAAATATTGCCAAGAAATTAACAGGCTTTTCATATTTAAATGGTTTTACAGAGATTGTGCAAAGCATCATACCTGGGCTCTGCATCAGATCTATGCAAAATTTTAAATACAGTATTTTTAAAATGCTTATAAACCTTTTAGCAAACATTTTAGAAAAAGACCTTCAGTAGCTTGCACTGGAGAGACCACCTTCATCACTAATTTAATGTCTGGGTGGCATTAAAGCCATTTCAGGTTCATCTCAGACATTTAAGCTATCATCTGTGTGATGCTGGAGAACAACAGCTGGGTGGGTTCATATACAATAAATAATTCATTGCTAATTCTGAAGAGATGGATAATTGATCTATAAAAATTATGCCTTAAGGGTTCCTGAAATATGAACATTTTAGAGTTTGTACAAGAGGAAGAGTATCACAGGAGGAAGGTAAGAGAGGGAAAAGCTCCACGATCAGGATTGAGACTGATGCACAGTGGGGTGGCATTTTGCAGTCAAGCTCTTAGTAATAAAGTGAGAACATGTCATAAAACCAAAGTACTTCTAATTTTCTTTCTTTCCAACTTGGAAACAATTTGACTATTTCAAATAAGTCACTGATGTTCCCACAGCCCCACTTCATTGCTAATAGCACTATCACAAAACTGGGACTCTGCTCAGAGAGAAATTTAAGCGGATGCTTGGTTTTAATTATCTGAGTAGGAATCACTTAAACTACTTCTGTGTTTAAAACAACTCGCTGGACTGAGGCCTGGAATAGCAGAAGCAGCAGATAGGGATGCAGGATTTTTTTGTCAGTGATGTTCCCATACTGATACACAGCATATTATTTTGTATTATTCATAGGGGATTAATATAAATATTTATTCAATGTATTTTTTAATTAGTAAAATCTGAATAGTCTAGTTTTAAAAGAAAACTATCAACACCCTTTTTGGGGGCAAGAAAAATGCAAGGGCACAGCTGGTCTCATCCACATCTGAATGTCAGGCTTGTGAGCAGGCTGAGGTAGTGAAGTCCCACACTGTGGATACAAAACAGCATCCCCTAAACAGCAGGTCCTAAAGCTTACGGGAATGTGTTGATTATTTTTAATCAAATACATTTATTAAAGACTCTTTATCTTTTTCATAAAAAACAACAACAACAACAAAAAACAACCCAACTACCTGTTTACCAATATTATCTTATTATTTGGCATATATATTTTTTTAAACTTACTAAGATACTCAATTATTCCAGAAAGTACTTCCCAGCATGGAGCTAATCCGCCCCTGTGAAGCCTTTGTTTGTGCTGTAGACTGCAGTCTCTTTTGGACAGTAACACAGATACAGCCATAGTATTGAATACACGTATCACTGATCTGAATAGCCTCATCTGTCTATATTATACATTAATTAAACCTGCCGGTAATAAACAGGTGGAGGAAAGATGCTGAAGGAGAAACATCTATCAGAAAAATCATCTACTTGCAGTGCAATTCATTAAAATGGTATCTTTTCTTCTAATAAGGGCTAGTTAATATAGAACAATTTTACAGTTTATAAAGGGAACTTTTTAATACAAAAAGATCAGAACATGAACAATTTACTAATGAAATACAGGAACACCAAAGACAAGAAACAGGAAGTCTCTGCAAACCATTTTAGAAGTGCTTGGTCTAGCACTGTAAAACATTCTTCTGTATCATTTTAGATGTCATGGATGCAGCAAATTTTGAATACATTTTGAATAATCAAACAGTGTATTCCAGTTTCATGCACTATTCTTACTATTTATAGCTATCACCACAAAATGTTAGTGCACGTATTCCTCAGCCCTTGCACCAGCAGTGGACAATACACCCAGCAACTACTCCTTCTACTCACCTACAATAAAAGAGTAAAGACTCTTTCTGTTGAAATTCGGGAATTGCATTTTCATACAATGTTTAGAAAAAGGTTTGTTTAGAGCAGGTCATGCCCCAAGGCCAATGCCTTTTGGCAGGACACGTATTTTGGATTTATTTTCTTGAAAAGTGAAGTAATTGTATTTTATCTCTGTTCCCTTTGTGTTTAGGTTCACTGTATACACACAGGAACGGACAGGATTTTTTTTTCTCCAATGCAATTATGAATACACTCTTTAATAGTCAAGCCTGTTCTTCAGTGTGGTCTTCAGCCTCCCTTAAGAATTTCTATTCTTTATCGACCAAAATAAAACTCCTCCATACGTAAGGATTGGGCTCAAAACAAAACCTCCATCCAACCTGTTCCTGCAATGACTTGGACTCCTGCTGACCTTCCACAAGAGGAGCCACTGAACTGACTTAGACAGGAGAGCTATGAAGCAGATGAATTCAGTCTGTTAGGAGATCTCTGCCACACTGAACCTCCAAGGGAGGCAGAAAGAGCACCTCGGGCTCCTGCTCACACCATACCCCTTCCTAACTGCTAAGACCACTCAAGCAAGGGCCAACCATTACCTTCCCCAAGCCTGAGAGCTCTCCCAGAGCACCTCCAGGCATCTGTTGGATGGACACCCACCTTCCTTCCAGCTCTGTTGTTGTGAAGGTTCATCAGTGCCCTTGCATCTTTTCCTTTCCGTTCTTTGGCATCCACAAAGGCTCTGGCAAATTTTATGCCATAGTCAATGTTATCGCTGCAGCCACCCCAGTCAAAATGGCCCTTACTGTCCTTGGCAGAGCCTTTCTTCTTGGGATCACAGGAGCAGGATTTCAGTTCCCCTTGGCTACACGCCCTGGTGATGGCAAAAACAACTCCAGCGGAGGAGATGGCATGTACAAAAGCAGATTCCCGACTACCTGAAACAGAAGAAGTCACTTTAAAAACTGTTGGGGTAGTTAGTTTGAGTGGCTCTCCTAAATCCAGCCAGTTAGCTTGGACTTGTTTGCTGAGTAAAAGATAAAACTGGGCTGAAATCACACAAATACACATTCCCTGGAGCCAGAATTAGTCATGGCTTAAACTTGGACCCCTCCCTGGTAAAAGCTCATCAATACAGTGTTAGAGTTGGAAAACATAAATGTTTGCTTCTGATATTGATTAATATACTTGCACAGATCAGTTGTTCTGTACAGATATGTGAACAGGACAGCTTGTATTTCTAACATGTTTAATCGATTTAGAAAAATATATGAAGTGCTATTTCAGAGACACGTTTAAGAAATTATTAAATGGGGACACTGGAACAACATGTACATTGCAAAATACTGCAAATAACTCTTGAAACTAGCTTTTCCTCGTCCAAAGCAGTTGGAATAAACTTTCCTGCTTAAAAGGTGGTAGGGAGAAATCTTGGGTGTTATTTTCCAAAAATAAATTAAATTTAGGTTTTTCTGCCTAGAACCAAGCCCAGCAACCGTAATTCACACAAACAAATTCCATTAAATCAATGGCACTGTTTGTGTCATGCTTCAGGCAGGGTTTGCCCTGGCAGCTGTGACTTCCACACACCAGCTGTGCAGGCAGTTTTCCCTTCTCTTAACGAAGACACTTTATTTTACAAAACATTATCTGCATTTGCCGGTTATGCCTACTCTTAAGCTATCGTGTATGTATTTCAATGTAGTAACCATTTAAGTTTATTTTAAGAGGCAGTAATTTACAATGCAGAGCTGTCATATATTGGCACAACACTATTTATGATAATGGAATATTGAGATATTTTAAAAGTTCTTAGCATTGAAAGAGTGAACAGTAGATTTCTGTGCAATATCTAAGGCCACTAGCAGCGAGAAAGGGCTGTTTGGAGAACTTGTAAACCTTAAGAAACATTAGCATGGTAAAGTAGGACCCCATAGACTTAATATTATCTGTGATTTTATTGTAGAGGCAGCATTACACCATGAGACTTACTATTTAGTATTTCTATTCCAGTAGCATCTAAATGTTTCAAATAAGAATGAGCCCTAGACTTCCACATGCTGCACAGACCTTCAGCAAACAGCAATTAAAAGCTTGCAAAAGGACTGAGCAAACCCAGCCTTCCCTACGCTGCCTTCAAAACCAGGCAGGAGACATCAAGGTTTACTACAAATCATGTTCTTTTAAGGACTAATGTCTGAGAAAATGTATTCAGAAATAGCAAAACTTTTAAAAGCGTTAATTAAAGAGAAACACTTGCTGTTGTTGGAAGAGAAGTGTTTCATTTGAGTTTATTAATCAAAACAATTTAATTTCAAATTAGACTGATATCAAGCTATGTTTCCCATCACAATCACTGCCTGATCAGGCTCAGTGGAGAACTCAGGAGCCTGATGCCTTAATTCTCTCCCATGAGCCAACAGTGAAAATTTCACTTTTGGAACAACTGCATTTTCACCTTTTTTTTATGAAATAGCCTCATCAGAATTAGGCCATGTTCTGCTAGACGTGTTTTCCTGAACGTCAGACAAACCTCATCAAAAACTTCAGCTGATGGGTGACATTATTGGTTAGTCAAAAGTAACTGCTAAGGGAACATGAAGCTGGTTACGGGAACCAAGCGCTTACCAGCAGCAGAGCCTGGCACCCAGTGATGCTCTGCAGATGAAATCCCACTGCTCAGGTCCACGTGCCCAGTGTCACCTCACCTCCTGCCCATCATCACCACTGGGGCAATAGCCCTGGGGTACTTTCCTCCTCCTCTCCTCACAGGTACCAGGCTGCTCACAGCCTGGAGAGGCTGTCTTGGATGGTACTGGGGACATCCCAGGGACACAAGTGCCAGGGCAGGGTCAACCCCACCAGCTGGGCACCACAGCTCTGCACCCAGGTGTGGCATTTGGTGAAGAGCTGCAGTTTCAAAGAATCTCAGCACATTTATCACTTGCATGTGGATATCCTGGCACAGTAACTGATCTCAGCCCTTTCTTTGAGTCTAAAGGACCATATGAGCTGTCTGAAAACTAACCAGATGCCTTAGTCCAACATTTAGACTGTAACAACACCTTGGTTAACCATGCTCCTCAGGGTGGGAAGCACATTGCAGCCCTCTGCTGCTTGGGGTCTGCACAAGCCTTGCTCACCCCTATCAGATAGATGTGTCCCCACTTCTCTCTCTCCCAGAACCCGATCTGAGGGTCTGGCTGTCACAGCCCCCACAGAGGGCTGAGGGACTGGAGGGCAGTGCTGCCCCACACGGGCACAGACCCCACACCTCACAGGCAGCACAGCACCCCACCGCCCAGCACAGCACCCTGCTGCTGCACTTCCACAGGGAGATGCTGCAGCAGGAACCAGCCTGTAGAAGGGGCTGTCGTCTGCCAACATGCTGGGATCCTGTTCGGATGTGGGCTGTCCCTTTCAGCCCTCCCAGAGTTCTGGTCTGCCCAACTGCTGCATTCAGGTGCCCCAGTTTCTATGGAGCCCTTAATTTGTGGTTTTGGGGTCCAGTGTGCACCAAGGAACCAAGAAGTTTGGAACTGCAGGGCCAGCCCCTAATATGCCAACCCCCCCTTTCTAAGCCTTGTCCATGTCCTTGTGCTCTGATACAGTTTTTTAAGCACAGCAACACTTCTCGTTACCAGATCTGCTGCTTGCTGACTGCGAGACCCTGGGACAATTTTGCATTTCCCCTTCTCATCCTCCCGAAACGCAAAACGAAGCTTCACCCTTGCCAGGAAGGAGGCCAACCGGCGCAGGG